ATTAGGAAAATTGTAAATAAGAACTGCAAGGAAAGCTATTAAGGGAATAAGAATTAACAATTGTGGATATAGACCTATATCAGATCAAAATGAGAAATATATTTATCATTAATTATCAATCAAAATATAAAAAATTAAATTAATCAAATAATATTTTATATATATATATATATTACATATGTAAATGTAAATGACCATGGCCAATAATGTGTCTGATGGATTTTTCCACAAAAATATATCCTCTACAAATCCTTGAAGAGCGAATATGAATCCACATTTTTGAACAAATTTTCTAAAATTATCACCAAGTAATTTTATATTTAAAGGAGGGTGTAAAGAATCTGACGACATTTTAGGTGAATTTGCAACGTTTAGAGCAGAAGAAACCAAAAGATCTTGAATCGTTTTTGCATCAAATGATGTTTTTACAGGTGATATTGGTCTTGCTGCTTGAGGTGCTATTGAATCAACTGAATTAGCACGTCTTAATTTGTTCGTTCGTTTATTCCCTGCTAATTCATTCAATTCATTTTTGCCGTTATCATCATTTGAATCAGAATCAATCATTGTCAAAAATGGATCTAGTAAAAACTAGAACTTTTATAAGGATGGATTTCCAGGTAAATTATATGTCGCAGTTTAAATCAGACACATGACTAATATTGGCGTCACTGTTACGTTTGTTCTAGACTTAAGGAGTTTTTCATCGTTACACACACGCCGTTTACAAATGTAATAAATAAATCCGAACGCGGATTAAAAGTCCTCATAAAAAAAAAAAAAACAAAATAAAAAATGCCTTTACCAATTAATCTAACTATCAAACTTCAAGGAAATAATAATCCTAGTCGTTCTCGCCTTGTAAAAATTATAAATGCTCGTTTGATCCGTGATCATCAAATAATAAGCGATGACGTTCTTTATTTATATAATGGAAAAATAATCGACCCGCAAACTTATTTTTTTACATTTGGTGATTCACCGGATATTGTAGTTGATGCTAAAGGATTATTAGTAGCTCCAGGATATATTGATGTACAGATCAATGGTGCTTTTGGTGTAGACTTTTCTCAATGGCAAAGTGAAGAAAAAATGAGGGAAGGACTAGACAAAGTCGCAAAAGGGTTGTTAAAGTATGGATGCACTAGTTTTATTCCAACAATTATTAGTTCAGGAATAGAAATATATCAAAAGGTACTTTATTTTCATATAATAATATTATTTAATTTTTGATTAATAAACGAATAAAAATGAATATAGGTTCTTCCATTTCTTAAACCTCGTAAAGGAAATAAGAATATTGGGGCAGAAATTTTAGGTAATTAATAATATGGTCCCTCAAGTTATTCATGCATATATTATTTATTCTTATCCTTGCAAAGGTGCCCACGTCGAAGGTCCGTTTATTATGCCAAGTAAACGTGGTGCCCATGAAGAATCCCACCTTCGCGTAGCTTCTGGTGGTTTTTCTGATTTTGTAAAAGTATATAATTTGAATGAAGGAAAAGATCAAATAGTCAAGATCGTAACTATTGCTCCCGAGGTAGAAGGTGTTTTAGATAGTGTGGAAGATCTGGTTCATAATGCTGGTATTACAGTCAGCTTAGGTATGCTTTCTTGGATTTTTTGACAGCCTTAAAATGTGTCATACAGTACAATAATCAAATATTTAATTTTGGATATATAGGTCACTCTTCTGCTACTGTGGCTCAAGCGGAATTAGCTGTCGAAAAAGGAGTAATTAAAAATTCATTTGTTCCTTCATACTTTATTATACATTTTGTTTATTATCATTATTTTATGTATAGGCTCGATTCATTACGCATTTGTTTAATGCCATGCAACAGGTAAAACAAAAAAAAAAAAAAAAATCTTGTACAAACTTGTAAAATGTCTACATATAAAGATGATGGTTCACGTTATTGTAGTTCCATCACCGTGACCCTGGTATAATTGGTCTACTTGGTACTACACGTATTCCACGACCGTATTATGGTATCATCTGCGATGGTATTCACGTGCATCCAAATTCTATTAAAATTGCTTACGATTCTCACCCTAGCGGTGCGGTTCTCATTACTGATGCTATGGCTGCTATGGGGTTGTCACCAGGAGACTATACTTTGGGTGATATTCCTGTGCGTAAGATTGATGATGAACGTGTTGAAGTTATTGAAGATGGACGGCTTGCTGGATCAGTCATTACTATTGATGCCTGTGTTAGAAATTTTAGAAAGTTCACTGGTTGCTCAATTATTGAAGCTGTTGAAGCAGCAACATTGCATCCGGCAGAATTATTAGGGATACAAACTATTAAGGGAACGTTGAATGTTGGTGCTGATGCAGATTTGGTATTCCTAGACGATGATCTTAGAGTTATGAGGTGCTTCATTGCTGGGGAGGAAATTGAAATTTGAGAATAGATAATCAAAATGATTTATTTCCAAGCACTCATTCACTATATGTATTTATGAATGTATTACAAATAACAATGTAACTATTAGATTATAAAGTACATTATCTCACGCATCCCATCTCATTAAATTTTTTAGTGTATCTAAAGCTATTTGCTAAATAAATTATTGAGATATATAACGGTATCCATAACGAGCAGCGAAGAGTAAACTAATATAAAAAGTGTCGTTAATACAGTTTTCATGTTATCTTTCATTAAAATTGTAAATAATAATAATTCACCTAAGAACTGTAACGAGGCCAGCCGGCATAAATTTTCCGCTTTTATAGAAACGAAAGCCCATTACAATAAACAATAAAGATGATACAACTAAATGATGTAATAATGAATCAAGTTTATTAATAGACAAAAGAAACTTATTGCTGAGGATGAGGCTGAAATTTTGGCCTATTTTACTATAAAATTTTTAAATCATTTGAGGCGCTTTATAATTATTTAAAAAGGTAGGGTAGGTTTTATAGATTTAATTAGACATCTCAAAAATTTCAGCCTCAGGCTCATATTTAACTGATAAATATAATATTAATTACTACGCACGTAAAGCTGTACCAACATTTTTTGGATTGGCACTGTATCGATTTGCACCATATGCCTAAATATAATTTAGAAATCGAATTTATTCGATGTGATAAAAAAAAAAATGAAAACTAGTAAAAATTCTCACCGCAAACCCGCCAAAAGTTAATCCAAAAATCAAAGAAGGTATACTTCCTAAAAGATAAAGGTCAAAAAAATAACAATTTTGCTTTTCTAAACATTTATATATACAATACCTGCTTTTACGTAACCAACAATTCCTCCCAACGAGATAATCTATAAATAATATTAAACATTATGATTAGGAAATTTTAAAAATAAACCGAAAAATATGATTTTTTAAAAATATTTACGGCAGCATAAATATAACCAGGATAATCTGTCATTATTAATCAATGTAAACTTTGAAAAAGAGAAACTAGAAAATTATAACCACACGTTTGCTTTTCCCAGTTATACAAAACACATTAAGGAAATATTTACATATTAGGGTGAGATTTACAAACTTTTGCATTAGTCGATAATAAATCAACTTAGTCGACTAGTTGACTGATTTTTTAAAAGATAGACTTAGTTGAATCTAACCGAGGATTATTATTATAAGAAGTTTCGGAGAAATAGAGTATGGACTGGTCCAATAATTAATTTTGAATTGGGCTTGGACTGGTCCAGTCCAATAGTCCAGTTCAATCCAGTGACAACTATGATAAATTATATATGTCCGGTCCAATTTTCTTAATTGGATTGGACTGGACTGGACTGGTCCAATAGTCTAGTCCAGTCCAGTGACAACCCTGACAACGAATAATCGATTTGACTTGGATGTTCTCAAGCAACCCCCTCAATGTGACTGAATAGTGGTCAAGAGTGTGTACAAGCATTACAAATAACCCTTATAGAATTTTGCTGAAGATTCATGGTGCGAAATGCGGATATTAAGGGCGTTCTCAATAAGGATGGGCAAAGTAATTTATTAACGTTAAGTAATCAATACGTATTTTTTATCGTTTAA